TAAAAACGCGCAGAAGCGCAGCGTCGGCTGCGTCGGGTCGTCGCGCGCGGCCTGGCGCCGCACCCAGGCCTGCGTGCGCGCCACGGCCGCCGCGCGGTACGACGTCGGGCCGAAGACGGCCGACGTCTTCGCAGGGACGCAGAAGCCGACGTCGAGCGCGGCGTCCTTGGCCAGGCAGTCCACGCGCACGCGCGCGGCCACGTTGCGGTCGCCGCGCCAGAAGATGGGGTCGCCGCAGGCCGCGGCCGTCGGCGCGCCGCCGAGGGCGACGGCGTCGTCGTCGCCGTCCTTCGAGGACGACGACGCGTAGCGGCGCGCGCGCTCCGCGCGCGACGGCGGCGGCTTGAGGTCGTCGCCCGGCGCCATGGCCCGCGCCGCGTTGACGCGCACGGCGAGCTGGACCTTCTTCCCCGCCGCGGCGTCGACCCAGTGCACGCCGTCGACGGGCGTGACTTCGAGATAGCCCTGGAGGTGGTCGAGGTCGTCCAAGTCGTCCTCGTCGTCGCCCTCGTGGACGTCCAGAGCGTCCAGGGACGTCGTCGACGGCCGCAGGGGGTTCACGGCGTCCACGGCGCCCTCGAGGGCGTGCGTCGCGCCGTCCAGGGCCTCGGACAGCGCCTTGCCGCCGCGCCGCGCGTCGCGCGCCGCGGCTTCCGCGAGCCGCGCGAGCCGCCGCCGCACGCGGCTCCGCGCGCGCTCGTGGCGCCGCGCGAGCTCCTCGAGGCACTTGAAGACGACGCGCGCGCCCAGCGAGTAGCCGACCAGGGTGACGGGTCTCGCTCCTACAACATCCACGGCGCAGAGCGCGTCCGCGAGCGCCAGACCCGCCGCGTCGGCGCGTTCGACCGCGAGCGTCCACGTCGAGTCGATGTACTGCGTCGCCTGGAGCAGGGCGATGGGCAGCAGCAGCGACGTCAAAACGATGCCCACCGTCGTCGTCGCGGCGCCGTAGACGATGGCGTCCTGGGCCGACGACTGCGCGAGGGACCCGGCGAGCGCGCGCATCGACGACGTCACGTCCACCAGGACGTCGCGCTCCCAGACGAGCACGTTGAGCTCCGGCGCGCCGGCGGCGTAGAGCTCGGGCCACCACCAGAGGCTCGGGTCCAGGGACGCGTCGACGAGCTCCACCGCCTCTTCTTTCGCGACGTCCTGGTCCTCGACCTCGCGCGCCACCGCTCCTTCCGACGCGCCGGCCTCGGCCTCATCAAAAACCAGGCCGCTCTCCCGCAGCCGCGACGCGTCGGCCTCCATCCGCGCCGCCGCCGCCGCCGCGTCCTCCGCCTCGGTTTCGTCGTCGTCGTCGTCGTCGAGCGAGCCCGCCGCGAGCTCCGCGTCCTCGGCCCGCGCGGACGCCGCGGCCACGCGGACGATCGCGGCCACCTCGACGTCCTCCTCGACGACGCCCGTCGGCGACGCCGGCGGCGGCGGCGGCGGGGTTTCTTCCGAGGGCCGCCGGAGGCCGAGCGACGCGCCGACGGAGCCGACGGCGTCCGCGCCCGCGTGCGCGACGGCCGCCGCGGAGTTCGCGAGGCTCTCGGACGTCGACTCCGCGGCGGCGGGCCGCTCCTCGACGAAGGCCCGCACGGACGCCGCGAGCGCGTCGCGCGCGGCGCCGTCGGCGCGCGCGTCGCGAGGCGGGTCCGCGGGCGGCCGCGCGTCGAGGAGTTCGTCCTTTGGAAGCTCGAGCAGCTCCTTCGCCGTCGCCTCGACGTCGTCGCCCTTCTGGTCCGCGTACATCTTGCCCACCAGCTTCGACACGCGCGACTCGCGCCGCTTCGCGCCGCGTTCGTCGCCGAAGGTCACGTCGAGGCCTGGGCAGCAAAAGGGTGCGACATGCCCAACGTCAAAGGCTCATATCTCGGCCGTTTTCCACTCGTTTCGGCTGATTTTTGGACGAGCGATCATCTCTCGGAACGGTCTCGAAGCGTGGATGTTTTTTTCGGAACGCGCGCGCGCGGAACACTCACGTTGAAGCGACGTTGAATCACCCTTTTGCTGCCCTGGTCGAGGCGCGCGGCGTCGACGACGGCCTTGGCGGCCGCGCGCGCGTCGGCCACGGACGAGCAGTCGCGCTGCTGGACGAAGCGCCGCAGGCGCCGTCGCAGCGGCGCGTCCGCCGGCGGCGCGGCGCCGTAGGCCTCGGCGTAGTCCGTGGGCTCGCGGAGCGACCCCGCCACCGCGACGCAGACCGTCAGCGCTTGCTCCGCCGGCGCGGGCGCGCGATGGAATCCAAAGTCCTTGAGGCCCGCGACGCGCCGCCGCATGCGGTAGCCCGCCAGGCCCGCGCCCGCGGCGCCGAAGGTCGCGGCGAACATGGTGCTGTAGGTGCCCGCGAAGAGCACGAGCGACGACGCGCCCCAGACGGTAGACCCCGCGAGCGCGGCCGCGAGCACGGGCGCCGCGAGGCCCGCGGTCAGGCCGATGACGACGCCCGCGGCCGTCGCGGCCGTGCCGATCTTCGCGTAGCGTAGCGCGACGTCCGTGTTCGACTCCGGCCCGGCGGTCGTCGCCAGCGTCGACGCCGTCTCCGCGTCGTCCGCCTGTTCTCCTTTGAGCGCCGTCGCGAGCCCGCGCTCCCGCGCGCGGAGCCAGCCCTCCTCGAAGCCGAGGAACCCCGCGGCCTTCTGCAGCGCGACGCGCTGGCGCGCGTCGTAGGCGCCGCCGCCGGCGACGACGGGCGCCACGAGCAGGCTCCGCAGGAACGCGGCCTCGAGCGCGCCGGAGAACGCGTTCGACGTCGCGGCGCGCTCGAGCACGCGGCTCGCGAGCTCCCGCGCCGCCTTCCGCCGCGCGGCGCCGCCCCGGGCCCCGCGGAGCGGCGCGAGCAACGCGCCCCAGGAGGGCGCCTTGCCGCAGGCGCGCGGCGGCGCCGCGCCGCAGCCGAGCGCGGCCGCGGCGCCGTCGAGGAATCGGGCGTTCCACGCGCCGTCCTCGCCGTCGTCGACGAGGCAGCTCGCGACGAGCGCGAGCACGGACACCGCCGCCGGCGCGTCCCAGCCCCCGCAGGCCGCGTCGACGGCCGCCGTCTGCCCTTCGGCCTCGGGCGCCGGCGCCGGCGCCGTTCGGTCCGCCGCGGACGACGCCGCGAGCTTGGCGGCGACGCGCGCCGCGGCGGCCTCGAGCGCCGCGGCGAAGACGAGGAACTCGGCCTCGTCGAGGCTGCCGCGTTTCGTCGTGTCCGCCTCGTCCCAGCTGTCGACGAGCGACGCCGTGTCGAGCGCTTCGGCGTAGCGCGTCGCCACCCAGGCGCGGATTTTCGTGCCGGACACGCGGCCTTCGGCGTCGGGCGCGAGGCTCAGGAACAGCGTCTTGAGCGCTTCGGTCGTCGTCCAGCGGTCCGACGAGGTGTCAGAGTTCTCCATCATTTTGCCACAGTGGCTTTGGGGCAAAGAAGCATGCAAGTTGTCTTCGTATGTCAGTGCAGCCCCTGCGCCCGACTCGCGCGCTCTCCCATCGCCCCGGCCTTCCACCGCAAGCGCGGGTTCCGAAGCGGGCTGCCGGGCGGGCGGCCGACGCGCGCGCGCCCACGAGCGGCCCCGGCGCGAGGTCCCGAGACTTCGACCATGCCCTTCCAGCTCGACGCCGGGGCGCTCGTGCTCGTGTGCTGCTACGCGGCCCTGGCCTGCGTCTGCGCCTACCAGATGCTGCTCATGCGGCGGGCGCGCCACAGCGGGACCTTCATGTGGGTGCTGGCCCTCGCCTGCGCTCTGTGCCTGCTCCGGACGGCGTTTTTCCTCAAGACGATGTTCGTCGCCGGCGGGCGCGACGTCGTCTCGTACTCGCTCCTGCTGGGCATCTACCTCCTGCCCTACGCGCTCTTCTTCAGCATGAACTCGGCGCTCGTCGTTTATTATAGTGAGGCCGTGGCGAAGGCGCGGCAGCTGCCCGCGCTCCGCCGCGACTCGCACGGCTCCGCGGCCGGCGGCGGCGGCACGCGGCCGCTGCTCGGCGTCATGACCGTCGCCGCGTCGGCGATTTATGGGGTTTTCGTTTTATGGCTCGCCGTGGAGGACGGCGCCCAGGACGGCGCGCCGCGGCCCCTGCGCTGGTTCTACCTGCTGTGGACGGCGACGAGCGACGTCGTCATCTGCGTGCTCGTCAAGGTCTGGGGCGACCGCTTCATGGCCGCGGGCCGCCGCGCGCACGCGGCGGCGCGGCGCGCCGCGGGCCAGTTCGGCCTGCTCAACTCGACGCTGTGCTTGGCGCTCTTCGGGCGCGCGGTCTTCGCGATGCTTTCCTACGCGGAATTATTGCCGGACGGGCTGACCTACGTCTACTTCCTCGGCAACCACCGGAAGCTCGCGGGCGACCGCGCGGCGATCTTCGTCCTGTCGGAGTGCGTGCCCGTCGCGGCCTACGCGGGCCTCTTCCTCCACATGCCCGAGCGCAAGGCGCGCAATTTATCCGTCGACGCGCCGCCGGGCCCGGGCCGGGGCGGCGACCCCGCGGCGCCGCCGCCGTCCTTCGGCGGCTCGGCGTCGCCGGCCATCCTCGTGCGCCACCCCGCGCCCTCCGACGCGGGCTCCGAGACCGCGTCGAACGCGAGCCTCGCGTTTTCCGGAACGCCGTCGTCCTACGCGGCGGAGCAGGTCGTCAAGAACGCGCGGACGCGCGCGCTCCTCGCGGCGCCCCAGGAGGGCGTCAACGCCATCAGCCCCCACGAGATCCTCCAGTCCTACGGCCGCGGCCGCCGCTCCTAACCTGTGTGTTTTAGTAACGCGGGCGCCGCCGCCGCGGCGGCGTTCCTCTTCGCGGTCTGGATTCTGGCGTTCTTGAACGCGAAGCCTGGGTGGCGCGAGGGGGGGCGTGGTTTACGACATGAACGCGATGCTCTAGGAGCCTTCTAGGGGTGGGCTTAAGTAGGCGTGGGGTAAGATTTTGAGCGATTTTGCCCTGCGTGATCGAGCCACCCAACACTGTACATAGCCCCCGCGCACCGCCCCGCAAACGATCATGAAGGCCGAGTACGTCGAGAAGCAGCGCGAATACGAAGAGAAGAAGGCGCGGGCGAAAGCGCTACAGCTGCGTTTGACGTGCACGATTTGTGGGGCGAAACCGAGAACCTTGCTGAAGTGTCCCTGCGGGACGACACAATATTGTAGTACAGACTGCCAACGGATCGACTGGCGCGACCGGGGCCACCGGAAGGTCTGCAAGAAGATCCGGAAGCGCGCGGCGGAAGCGCCGACGCCCCCGCCGTCGCCACCGCGCGAGGTGTTCTACGGACCCGCGCCGCGGTCGCACGCCGACGAGGTCCGCGCGCGCATCGCGGCGGAACACGAAGCCGCCCGGGCGCGGCGCGAGGCGAACCCGGAGCCCGAGCCGGCGTCGGCGCGGTGGGGGTCGCGGTGCCCGATCTGCCTCGAGGAGTGGGACGTGAATGATCCGGGCATGCTTCGCATCTGTTGCTGCCGAAAGGTCTGCCTATCGTGCGAGGACAAGATCGGACTCGAGGCCTGTGCTCTCTGTCGATTACCATGCGCAAACAGCAATGCGGAGCTGCTCGCGCGTCTTCGCCGCCATGTGGAGAACGAGGTGCCGGAGGCGATTTCGTATTTGGGAGACTTGTACCACCTCGGTCGGTTGGACCTCGTGAAATCCGATAAGAAAGCCGCAAAAATGTGGAAGCGCGCCGCGGAGCTCGGGAACGTGGAAGCGATGAGACACCTTGGAAAAATATACTGGGAAGGGAGTGGCGTCAAGCTGGACAAGAAGAAGGCGGAGCGGCTCGTTCGCATGGCCGCAGGTCGGGGCGACGCGGTCGCGCAAAACAATCTAGGGCATCTACTTTCTGAGGAGAGACCTGAAGAAGCGTTCCGGTACTACGCGCTCGCGGCGGATCAAGGCTTTACCTGTGCGGAGAATTCGCTTGGCTGCTGTTACGGGAACGGAGAAGGCACGGAAGTCGACCTCGGCAAAGCCAGATACTGGTTCGAGCGCGCCGCTGCCAAGGGCCACGAGAAAGCTATAAGGTCCCTCGCGCTCCTCGACGCGAGCATAGTCTAACAATTTTTACGCTGCGTCGTCGCCCGAGCCCGAGATGCTGCGCTTGCGCGCGGGCGACTCGGAGTCGTGATTGGCGCTGCCGCGTTCCGCTCCGCGCCGACCTTTGCGGTCTGGTGCCTGGCGTTTCTGAACGCGAAGCCCGCCTGGCGCAAGTCGACGACGACGCCGAGGGGGGCATGGAGAACGACATGAGCGCGTTGCTCTAGGCGTGGGCTTAGCCCTGGGGTCGGGTTTTGAGCGATTTTGCCTTTGCGATCAGATTGCGATCGAGGCCCGATCGAGTCGAGGTAGTCACCTTGTGGCGACGCCCCCGGTAAAACACGCGCGCCGAGTCATGTCGTGGCGGGAGAAGAAGTTGGAGTATGAGAATCGCATGGCCCGAGCGAGGGGCAAAAAACTCGACACTCTCAAGACCTGCACGATTTGCGGCGCCGACAAGGCCAAGGCTTGTTTAGGTTGCGGCACGACGGCCTACTGTTCGACGGACTGCCAACGCATCGACTGGCGCGACCGGGGCCACCGGAAGGTCTGCAAGAAGATCCAGGCCGCGGAGGCGGCGCGGGCCGAGGCGCCGACGCCCCCGCCGTCGCCGCCGCGGGACGTGTTCTACGGCCCCGCGCCGCGGTCGCACGCCGACGAGGTCCGCGCGCGCATCGCCGCGGAGCACGAGGCGGCCCGCGCGCGGCGCGAGGCGAACCCGGAGCGGGAGCCGCTGTCTGCGCGATACGGGTCGCGGTGCCCGATCTGTCTCGAGGAGTGGGACGTGAATGGTTCGGGCGTGCTTCGCGTCTGCTGCTGCCGAAAGGTCTGCCAATCGTGCCAGGACAAGATCGGCTTCGGCGCGTGTCCCTTCTGTCGTATACCGTGCGCAGAAGACGATGCGGAAGACCTCGCGCGTCTTCGTCGCCATGTGGAGAACGAGGTGCCGGAAGCGATTACGTTTTTGGGAAGTGCGTACCGCCACGGTTGGTACGGCCTCGTGAAATCCGATAAGAAAGCCGCGAAGATTTGGAAGCGCGGTGTGGAGCTCGGAGATGCGCGGGCGGTGGTACTTCTTGGGGAAATGTACGAGGATGGGGAAGGCGTCAAGCTGGACAAGAAGAAGGCGATGAAGCTGTATCGCGCGGCCGCAGATCGGGGCGACGCGGTCGCGCAAGCCAATTTAGCGTTTTTACTTGATTCTGAAAAGAGATTTGAAGAAGCGTTCCGGTACTACGCGCTCTCGGCGGATCAAGGCTATACCGATGCGGAGCACAACCTTGGCGTGTGTTACATGGAAGGAGAAGGCACGGAAGTCGACCTCGGCAAAGCCAGATACTGGCTCGAGCGCGCCGCTGCCAAGGGCCACGAGAAAGCGACACAGAACCTCGCGCACCTCGACACGCAAACTTAGCCTAACAATCTGACCCCGCGTCGTCGCCTGAGCCCGGGAATTCTGCGCTTGCGCGCGGGCGAGTCGCGCTTGGCCTTGGCGTCGTCGCCGCGGCGTTCCTCTCCGCGCCGACCTTCGCGGTCTGGTGCCTCGCGTTCCTGAACGCCAAGCCCGCCTGGCGCAAGGCCGACCAAGCCGCCGAGGGGGCATGGAGAACGACATGAATGTGGTGCCCTAGGGGTGGGGCCAACCCTGGGGTCGAGTTTTGAGCGATTGCCTCGCGTATGTGGTGAGGAGAGGCAAAAAAGTCGCCCGCGCGCCGCCCGCAAACGATCATGAACGCCGATTACGTCGAGAAGCAGCGCGAATACGAAGAGAAGAAGGCGCGGGCGAAAGCGCTACAGCTGCGTTTGACGTGCACGATTTGTGGGGCGAAACCGAGAATTTTGCTGAACTGCCCGTGCGGAACTACACAGTATTGTTCGACTGAATGCCAACGCATCGACTGGCGCGAGCGGGGCCACCGAAAGGCGTGCAAGAAGATCCGAAGCGAGCGCGCGGCGGAGGCGGCGCGGGCGGAAGCGCCGACGCCCCCGCCGTCGCCGCCGCGGGACGTGTTCTACGGCCCCGCGCCGCGGTCGCACGCCGACGAGGTCCGCGCGCGCATCGCGGCGGAACACGAGGCGGCGCGGGCGCGGCGCGAGGCGGACCCGGAGCGGGAGCCGCTCTCGGCGTGGTACGGGTCGCGGTGCCCGATCTGCCTCGAGGAGTGGGACGTGAATGCGACGGGCGTGCTTCGCATATGTTGCTGCCGGAGGGTCTGCCGATCGTGCGCGGACAAGATCGGAAACGAGTGTCCCCTCTGTCGTGTACCGGCCCCAAAAACCAATGCGGAAACACTCGCGCAACTTCGCCGCCATGTGGAGAACGAGGTGCCGGAAGCAATTACGTCTTTGGGAGGCGCGTACCACAAAGGTTGGTACGGCCTCGTGAAATCCGATAAGAAAGCCGCAAAGATTTGGAAGCGCGCCGTGGAGCTCGGCGATGCGGAAGCAATGGAATCTCTCGGGGAAGCGTACGAGTATGGGGAAGGCGTCAAGCTGGACAAGAAGAAGGCGGAGCGGCTGTATCGCGCGGCCGCAGACCGAGGCCACGCGCTCGCGCAACACAATTTAGCGGTTTTACTTGATGCTGAGGAGAAGTTTGAAGAAGCGTTCCGGTACTACGCGCTCGCGGCGGATCAAGGATATACCGATGGAGAGACCAACCTTGGCTGCTGTTACAGGGACGGAGAAGGCACGGAAGTCGACCTCGGCAAAGCAAGATATTGGTTCGAGCGCGCCGCTGCCAAGGGCCACGAAGGAGCTATAAAGGCCCTCGCGGCCCTCGACGCGCGAGGACTATAGCCTAACAATCTTTACGCCGCGTCGTTGCCCGAGCCCGGGACACTGCGCTTGCGCGCGGGCGAGTCGTGCTCGGCCTCGGCGTCATCGTCGCCGCGTTCCTCTCCGCGCCGACCTTCGCGGTCTGGTGCCTGGCGTTCTTGAACGCGAAGCCCGCCTGGCGCAAGGACGACGCCGCCGCCGAGGCGGGCATGGAGAACGACATGAACGCGATGCTATGGGGGTGGATTTAGCCCGGGGTGTAAGATTTTGAGCGATTTTGCCATTGATCGAGCTCCGAGTCAAGCTGCGCTATGCCGAAATCAAACCCATCCAAGAAGGCGTCCAAGGCGAGCCTGCCAGCGGACTGGCCGAAAACGACCCGTGGTCTCAGCCAAGCCGAGCGGTCGAAATTGATAGCGAAGTACAAAGCCGAGGTCGCGAAATGTACCCCCCCAAAGGGCAAGGAGCATCTCCTCTACGGGCGCACGCCCGGCTTCCTGTCGCTCCGCAAGATTCGCATGACGATGCCCCTCATCGACCGCTGCGACTTCCTGGCGCTCCTGGTCTTCGAAGACGGGAACCCGCACTTGTTCGAGGACGCGGAGGAGATTCCCGCGCGGCGCGACGACGAACTCGACCCCGTAGACTACGTGCGACAGGCGGACGCGTTCCATCGCGTTTGGACGCACCCGGAATATAGCCTCCGGTTCAAGGAGTTGATCCAGGGGTACCGCGACGAGCGCGACCAAGCGCGGGCCCACGGAGACCGGAACCGCTTCACGGCGCCCTTCACGCCCGAGGCCGCCGAGGAGATGCAGGAGCGCGCGCGCTCGACGGCCGCGTGCGCCATCGTCTGCGGCTCCTGCGCGGCCACGCGGGTGGAGAAAGACTGCGAGGGCATGACTCTCGCGTCGTCGGATTTGTCGATGCCTCTCTCCGCCGCGTCCTGGGATCCGAAGGCGAAGGACACAAACATCGTGTGTTGCAAGGTCGCCCAGCAGCTCATCGCTCGCACGACCGCGGGTCGAACACCCAGGGTCAAGCTCGACGACGGGTCCAAGGTCGCCATGTGCGCGGGGTGCGGCGAGCGCCTCGACAGCCGCGGGAAGAAGCTCCTCGCGTGCGCGCGGTGCAAAGCCGCGGTCTACTGCGGCAAGGACTGCCAGAAGCAGGCCTGGCCGACGCACAAGAAATATTGCCGCGCGCCCTCGGACACGGCCGGGGTCGGCTACGGCGCCAAAGTTTCCAGACCCTAACATTACTATCTATGAATAACCTTAGTCATCGCGCGCGTCAAAGGTCGGATCCGTCCACGGTGTGCCGCAGCGAGCGTGCCAGTTGGGAATTTCTTCGACTTCACGACCATCAAAATACCCGCGTTCCGACTCATCTTGGAACGAGAATCGGATTCGCAGATCCGGGAGCGCGAGTGAAATGCCCATCAACTCGTTCGTTCGTCTTCTGATCTCAGATTCTGGCACATCCTCGAAATTCATGACGTAGACGCCCATGCCGCGAGGCTCGACCATGCCGGTGGGCACATAGATCTCACGGGGCCCATCGAACGTATGTGCGGTCCCAAGCGGGGTGAAGGCCAAGTTCAGCATGCGCAATGACGCGCACGACCGTAACGACCGCGGGAGCGTCTCGATCGTCGATCCTCCGAGCTTTAACTCAACGAGCGGAGACTCACCCAGCCACTCGGGCAGCGTCGTCACGTGCGAGGAAGAAATGTCCAGTTTGGTCAGTCGTCGAAGGCCTCGGAGGCCTTCGGGCAGCGACATGAAACCGAGGCCGTTAAATTCGATCTCGCGGACCGTCAAGCCGCACACCGTCCGTTGAAAGACGCGAGCAACTCTGGCATCGAACTCCGGGCTATCCCAAGGGCCGCCCGGGTCGCACATCAGGCTGACGACCTCCAAAGGCCGGTCGCGCAGGCCCTCTTCGGATTTGTCTCCGAATTCGCTGTAGCAGGAATAGAATCGTCTCAGCCGCGGAAACGCTGGAGGCGCGGGCAGGCAAAAGAATTGGTCCGTGTCGAGGTGCAGCTCCTCGACAAGGGCGAGATTGCCGAACCATAGAGGGAGCGCCTGCGTCTGGTACGTGCTATTGCGATGATGGTCGCCTGCGTCCAACTTGAGACAACGAATGCAGCGAAAGGGGAACGGCACGATTTCAGGCGGCGGAAGCTTCGAGACCTCCTGCAGTAGGAGCTCCCGATCGTAGGCCCATTTGGCCCCGTCGCGCCATGGCTTAGACACGAGACGTAGCGCCCGGAGACTCGAGTGCCGTTTGCGCGCGACCGCGAGTGCGCGTTCGCATGCTTCGAGATGAATTTGGTCACCGGGCCGCAGCAGTTCACGACCTTTATAATTCCCGATGCCATCCCGATAGCCCTCGTATTCCTTCATTTCGGGTACAAGATTGAGCTCCTTGAGCGGTTCGCCGCAGACGAGGAACTCGACGACGAGGGGTAGCACGCTCATGAATCCGCCATGTGTCGTCAGCGCTGCGAGGCGCACGTAGAAATGTTTCGGCGTCGGCGCCAACGATGTCGTGCGCGCACTAAAGAAGTCCTCGAGCGTTTTTTGCACGGACATCGCGCCGCCGGACTGTGGCGAGTCGCCAAATACATAGCTCTCCACGCCAACAGCCCATACAAGTCTAAACCAGGTTAAACCCGCCGCTCCCTCGCGGCGAGCGCCGTCGCGTGGCGCTCGTACTTGTCCTTGAGCAGGAGGAAGCACTCGTTCGCGACGTCGCGCGCGTCCGGCGACAGGTTCTTCTGCTTGTCCGGGTGGAGGAACCGCGCGGCGCGGAGGTAGGCCCCGCGGACGCCGTGGGCGTCGGGCCGCTCGCCGGGCGCCGGCGCGCCGGGGACGAGGGCCGGGAGGTCCGCGAGGAGGTCCGCGAGCGCGCGGCGGTTCGCCCAGCGCGCGACGCGCGCGGCCGCGTCGCCCGCGTCGCCCGGGGCCGGCGGCCGCGCGGGCGCCGGCGGCGGCGGCGGCGAGGATGCCGCGCTCTGGCGCCGCCAGGACTGGGCGTGGTCCGTGCGCCACGTCGGGTAGTCGCCGTCGTCCGCGGCCCCGCGCGGCGCGGGCTTCGGCGGCGCGGGCTTCGGCGGCGGCGGCGCCTCGCGGCGCGGCGCGGGCCGCTCCTTGATGGGCGAGAGGTCCGGCATGTCCGGGATGAAGCCGGGCTCGCGCGCCGGCGCCGCGCGGCGCCGCGGCGCCTCGAAGGGGTCCGCGAAGGGGTCCGCGGACGCGTCCGATTCCGGCTCCGCGGACTGGCTCGTCGACCGCGCGCGCGGCGCCGCGGGCGCCGGCGGCGCGCGCGCGGGCGCGGGCGCGGGCGGCGGCACGGACCGGGCGCTCCGCGCGCGCCGCGGCGGCGCCGCGCGCGCGGGCGCGGGCGACGCCGTCGCGGGAGGCGGCCGCCTCGCGGGCGTCGGCGGTACAACCGCCGGCTCGGGCCGTTTCGCGGGCGTCGGCGGCGCCGGCTCGGGCATCGGCGGCGGCGGCCGTCTCGCGGGCATCGGCGGCACCACCGCCGGCTCGGGCCGTCTCGCGGGCGTCGGCGGCGCCGGCGCCGGCTCGGGCCGTTTCGCGGGCGCTGGCGCCGGCTCGGGCCGTCTCGCGGGCGGCACCACCGCCGGCTCGGGTCGTTTCGCGGGCGGCACCACCGCCGGCTCGGGCGGCGGCTTGGCCGGCGGTGGCCGCGCGCGGGGGCTCACGGAGCGGCGGAGCCTCGAGCGCGGCGACGCGGACCGCCGCCGGTCCGGCCGCGGCTCGTAGGGCGCCGGCGGGAGGCTCTCGGACCGAAGCCCGCGGCCCCGGGGCTTCTTCTTCCACGCGCGCGGCGCCGGCGGCTCCTCGGCGGGCGCGGGCGGCGCGCGCGCGGGCGCCGCGCCGTCCGCGCGGCCGCCGCCGCCGGGCCCGTGGTCGCCCCAGGCCTCGCGCTCGTAGCGCGCGGCGCGCGCGCCCGCGCGCGCGACCCTGCCCGCGGACGCGGCGCCGGCGACGCCGCGCGCGCGGCGCAGCCCCGCGAGCTCCGACGCCGTCGCCGCGTCGAGGGCCGCGCGGTCCCCGCCGGCCGCGCGC